AGCGCACACTCACATCCGGGTACTCTTTCACAGGTACGTAGAGTTTCTCCTGCAGCTGGACGATGGGCCCCACGGCATCCGGCAGCTCTGCACTTCTCTTCTCTGTGCTCCCGTTCAGCGTGTCGTTGTACATGTCTTTCCGAACTCTGCTGATTTCTGTTGGAATGAAAAGTTTAAAGGTGTTGTTAGGCAGAGATTCTTGCTAGTCAGAAAATTTTCAGAAGAAATGAAAGAGAGGGACAAAGAGGATGATCTCATCAATCAAGTGTTAGGATTCGGGAAAAGTGACAATGCACTCGGTCATTCGTGGAGTAAGCCCACATTTTACAGGACAGATAAAATGGAAAAGAGCAAGACTCAAGATGGACTAGCAACATGACCCAACCCACCATGGCAGGGAGGATGGGGCAGGGCCAGCCAGCGACTGGCTCTAGCAGACCTACACCGTTGAGCCAATGACACGCCACAGTGCCAACCTACACACTGACGCTCTGAGCCAGAAGCAACTCCTACCTGACCCTCCAACTGCTTTCCAAGGCTGTAAACCTTTTTCCCTGGGAGCCACCGAAGGAGAACTGTCAGAGGAGGCATGGACAGAGGGAAGTGGTTTGGGTGTTGTTGTTGTGTACTGTGTCAAGTCACAAAGGACTCGGAGCTGACTCTCCAGCAGGCTTTCAGAGGCAACATTTCACACGGGCACAAACTGTCCATCTCTCTTCCCCGGAGCAGCCAGTGGTTCAGAATGGCCTGCCTGTGGGTTGGCAGCACAGCTCCTGACAAAGACCACCAGTGTTACCTAATTTCTCCTAGAAACCGAGTATATGCTAGTCAAACAGCATCTCAGACGTGACTAGCCCCCATATCATCTTTTCAGCACCCTGTTTACAGACCTGCGGAACCTTTCCACATCTATCCTGAGTGAGACTGAAAGGGATGCCCTGTGTGACATTTCAGACTTTTCTGACACACAGACTGCACACCGAGCAGAAGTGTGAACATGACACACACACACCCGGGTCAGAGCCACGGGGACGGAGAAGGCAGTACTGAACGTACCCGAGGAACACAGGACTAAGAAAAGATAAAGAAAACTCGGGGATTCAAAGACCAGGTGAGCAAGCATCCTCACATACCACCAAAAAGCACAGGGAGGTTAGACGAAAAGTGGACACCCTAGATTTGACCACCAAGACATCAGTGCTCAAAAGTCCCATGACAAACATCCCAGTAGAGACTCAACACTGAGAATGAACAAAATATAAGCAAGTAGGGTCCCGAGACTGTGAAGCTGTCACAAAGGCAGATCCCTCCTCCTCCACCCACGGATTTGGCGTGCCACAGAGATAAGGCTTTGTTTTGGGGTAGCAGCACATCCCTATGGACTGCACTACCAGAGGCACCAGATTGAGACACTTCAATTAACACCCCTCTCACTGACTCACTCACTCACACTAGCTTCTTTTAGAAATACGTATGAGAACTCTAAATTAATCAGTTCTAAACAAAGGGACAGCTCTCTCTGGACTCTTTCATGAAACTATTACTACATGAAGCAGCAAAGACCCCACCCCCTGGAGCCCAGGTCTAACCAGGGTTGTTCTTGCTCGCCTTAGCTGAGGGCCTAGGGAAACCTCTCCCCACCTGCTCACTGCGCCCTCACCAAGGAAAAGCCCTGTCTCCTCTTTTGAATGTACTCTTAACACACACTTTGCAAAGTGGAAGCTATTACTATTAAATAATTATCTATGAATGCATGCTCTTACACTTTTCCAAACTAGTTATTTAACTCTATTTCACTGAAATAAAATTCAACACAACAATTGGACATTATCGTATGTTCTTATTCACTTACAAAGTTTTAATCAGTGAGAAAAACTGCACTGTAATGTATTTCTGCCTTCAGAGATGACAATATTCATTTTATTACAAATTTTCTCTCTCAACAATTTGCTTGTCAAGGCTTACCTATCAAATGCTAGTCTCTGAATAGCAAATTAAATCAACAAAAATGAGAAGGGAAGTTGGATTTGACGATATTACATGCAATACTTGTTTCTTAGTTATTTTGAACACTTTTATTTATAATACAATCTTTCTGAGCATTTCATTATCAAATTAATCCTTGGCTTAAGCTAGTCAAGGACAGCAAGCTTCCAACAACCACGCAGGAATGGTTGGTAAGGTTTTATATAAGGACGAAAGAAGAAGAAGAATCAATGTGTTTGGGCCACAGTGTTGGAAGAGTCCTGAAGAAGCCCCAAGACGGCCTAAAGAACAACAGGCGTCTTGGAGAAGATGCAGCCACAGTGCTCCTTAGACCCAAGGCTGGCAGAGTTTGGTCTCTCATACTGTGAGAATATTGTCAGGAGAGGCTATTCCTTGGATAGGGACATCCTTCTAGGAAAGGCTGAGGTGTCAGTAAAGGAGAGGGAAACCTTCATTAAGAGGGGTCGTGACCCTGACTGTGGCAGTGCGTTCAAGTGTGTCAGGGATGATATGGACGGTGCAGGGCAGGACATGGTTCACAACTGTTGCTGAAAAGGTCACTCACAGGGAGCTCTGGTGGCTGAGTAGTGGTAAGAAGCTGCACTGTAATCCCCGAGGTGCGAAGTTTGAATCCACCAGATGCTCCACTGGAGGAGGGACAATCTCCTCCTGTATCAGTCAGATCTCATCTGACAGTACACACACAAAGATAGTAATTTAAAAAAAAACCAAAAAACGTCACTAGAAGTCAACTATTTGTAACTCGATGGCACCTAACAACAACATGTAGTAATTTAAATGTAATTCACTGCTTATGCAATTGGCATAAGCATAGCAAGTAGTTAACCATGAGGTACTGAACAAACAAAAATTACAAATATAAGGAAAAAACTGATGGAACAGAAATTTTTTATAGGCCAATAAAACTATTCTGTATACAAAACTAAAAGTGAACACTAACACACGGACTTTGTTTAATGATAGTGTATTAGTGAGTGCTCCCCCCAATTGCACCAGATGTGCCACTAGAACCACGGATATTGCTACCAGGAATACCACTGAAGGCAGGGAGGAGTAGCCTCCAACTGTACTTTCCGGCTGGTTTTCCTTAAGCTTTAAAATGCCCTACAATTAGTCTGAGAGGGAGCTAGAGTGGAGTCCACACCCCTCAGGGGGTTCTAATCCAGAGGGACGGGCAATGTCCTCCCCTGTGATCTGTAGTCTCTGAAAACCTGCTGAGGGCCTGTAACGGGCCTCATTCCAACTGGACAGTGTTAAGTTGTTAAGAGTATGTGTTTTCAGCTGCTTCTTGTTAAGTGCCATCAAGTCACCTGCGACTCATGGCCACGCCACGTACGTTAGCTCTGAATCCTCCCTATCCTGAGCCAATCTCACTGTCTCCAACAGACCTAATTCCACTGCTCTGGTTACTGAGTTAATCCTGGGTCTTCCTCTCTTGTGCTGTCCCTCCACCGTTCCAAGCGTGATGTCCTTCTCGAAGGACTGGTTCCTCCAGGTCACGTCACGTGTCCAAAGTATGTGAAGATGGAGCCTCAAAATCCTTGCCTCCAGGAAGCAGCTTGGCTTCACCCTCTGCAGGACAGATCTCTTTGTTCTCCTGGCAGTCCACTTTTCTCCAACACCACAACTCAAAAGTCATCGATTCTTCTTCAATCATCCTTAATTACTGTTTAGCTGTCGCATGCAAAGCAACTAACTGCAAAGACCATGGCCTGGGTCAGGTGCACCTTAGTCTCCATGTTATGCTGCTCTTCAGTCCTCTAGAGAGGTCCTGGACAGCAGATTTTCTCAAAGCAATTCATCTTTTGATTTCCTGACTGCTGGTACCAAGAGTGTTGACTGTAACCACACAAGCTGAAATTACCAACAATCTCAATCTCTTTTCTATCAAGGTGCTGTCAACTGGCCCAGTTGGTGAGAATCTTTGTTTTCTTGATGCTGAGCTTCAATCCATATTGAAGGCTGCAGTATTTGACTTTCTGCAGCACACACCTCATCCTCCTCGATTTCAGAAGTAAGGTTCTGTCATCTGTGTAACAGACTGTTGATGAGTTTTCCTCCAATTCTAATGCCACAATCCTCCTCATAGATCCCAGCCTGCCAAATGACCTGTTCTGCATATATATTGAAAAGGTATGGAGACAGGATACATCCCCAACACATTCCTTCCTGATCCTGAACCATGCAGTGTTTACCTGTTCTGTTCTGATTACTGCTTCCTAGTCCAAGTATTGGTTTCTCATAAGCAAAACCAAGTGTTCTGGTATCACCATTTTTCTTAAGGTAAGCCAAAATGTGTTGTGATCCACACAGTCATATCCCTTTGCATAGTCAATAGAACACAAATAGATATGCCTCTGGTTCTTTCTGCCTTCAGATTTAGTTGATTTTGGCTTTGATGTCCCTAGTGCCACAGCCTCTTTTAGACCCAGCCTACACATCTGGTAGTTCTCTGCTGATGTACTGTTCCAGTATTTCTGGACAATCTTTAGCAGAACTTTGCTTGCATGTGATATTAGTGATGATGTTGTTATGTGCCGTCGAGTCACCTGTGACTCATAGTGACCCTATCTATGTACAAAAGCCCTAAAAGCTGCTCTATCCCTTGCCAATCTTAATGTCTCTGACACACCTATCCCCACTACCCCAGTTAATCAATCCATCTCATTGGTCTTCCTTTCCTGCGCTGACCCTCCGCCCTCCCAAGCATGACATCCCTCTCCAAGGACTGCTCTTTCCATGCAACATGCCCACAGTATGTCAGATGAAGCTCTGATACATACCAAGTAACTGCAAAGACCAACGCCTGTATCAGGCATACATACCTTAGTCTCCAGACTGACATCACTGCTTTTTAGTACTTTGGAGAGAGAGGTCTCTGACAGCAGACTTTCCACAGTGCAATGCGTTTTTTAATTGCCTGACTGCTCGTACCAAGTGTTAATTGTAGAGCCAAGCAAACCAAAGCTGTTAAAAATCTCAAACTCTTAACTATCTATCATGATACTGCCAATTGGCCTAGTGGTGAGAATCTCTGTCTTCCTGATGTTGAGCTTCAATCCATATTGAAGACTGCAGTCCTTGACCTTCTGCAGCAAGTGCTTCAGGTCCTCCTCAAATTCAGCAAGCAGGGTTGTGTCATCTG